TTCCACCCCCCACCCAGCTCTACGGAATCAAATGCACTGGGATGAGAGCTGGAAATCTTCATTTGTAATAAGAAAAAGGGCTGAGGTAGAAAAACACTGTTAAAACATATTCCCTGGTTAATTCTGATGCGTGTTAGAGTAGGAGAACCACTGCCATAGGGCCTTGTAGAGAGCCTAGTGTATTGTTTATACTCAATAAACCTTCTGGACATGAAAGACAAGGTGGGTCTCTAGGAGGGGAATGTGGTATAAACAGGGCAGGGCAGAGGAATGGAAAGGCCCTCTGTAGGACAATGGGCAGCTGCTTCCATTAAAAAGAGGACTGAGGTCCTCTGGTGGGGGAGGGACAGGGGTACGAGGGCCATTGTGAGTCTTCTCTCCAATGCAGACTAAGTGGAACCCTTGACTCAGAGACCTCTTCTGCTGCTTGTCCCCATCTCCTTCCCCTGCTCTTGTTCTCCACCACAGAGCTTTTCCCCAAAGGCTTCTCCAGGGCAGGGTTAGCCACCCCTTCACCTCTGTGGCTCCTGAGAGCATAGAGCCCCCCTGGCTACAGGTTCAAGGTTTGCTGTGGTTAGCTACACCCTGCTTCCTCATGCTCCCCCCTGCTCTTTTAAAAAAGGGAAAAATTTATTTCTTCAGACCTCCCCAGACCAACAGATAAATCAGCCAAAATTTTTAACAGGCAATAGATGAATATATCACAAGTTCCAGGTGAATATATCCAAATGAATATATTGCAAATTCCAGATGACAGACTAGTAAACATGGCCCTTCCAAAGCCATGGTTTTTGACCTCATCTTGGAATCACCTGGGGAGCTTTAAAAAGAACTGCCTGGTCTCATACCCAGAGATTCTGAGGTAGTGCTCTGGAGTACATCATGAGTTTTGGGGATTTCTAGAAGCTTCTCAAGGGATTCCGATGTGCATTAGAGTTGAGAACAACTGCTCCAGCAACATCATCATTTGAGAAATTCTAATGGTAGAGTCTTCAAGCATCCAGCCAAGTCAGTCCGTACAAGGGTAGTTGGGGGTAGGGGGGCATCAAACCATATTGCCCTGGCCTTGAGCCGAATTATAGGTGGCTCAACAAAACACATGCTCAAGACCCTGCTAATTTGTCTCCAGAAATGGAAGGATATGGAGAAAACTATACTTACTAGGACACTTTTCAGGGAGAGAACTGCAACAGGTTGGAAGGAATTCTCTGATAGTATAAAGATTAAAACCCCAAAAGGCATGCTCTGAGAGGCAATCCATGGTTACCAAACTGTCTTCTAAGAAGAATGAGCTCAGTTAACGATAGGAGTTTTGTTTTTGCTGGTTGGGCATTAGAACTTTGGGGCCAGAAGAAAAAAAGAAAAGAAAGAGAAATTTGGGACCAGAGCTGAACTGTTGACATCAGCAGCTGGTGTTACCAAACCTTCCCACCTTAAGCCTTAGGCGTTTCTACATATTGAACAACATTGTAAAGAATATCAGTTTGAATGAGATCCAAGTTATGAAGTCCTCTTGTCTCACTCTTGTACCTGCCTCCCTGTAAAAAACCTCTCGTCCAGGTCCTCTGTCTGCAAAGACAGGGGCGTCCAGCCCAGACTGCCATTTGGTAGTGAAGGGGGAAGCTCAAAAGCCTTGCTTTCTTCTGAGACAGCATTTTTATTACAGCTATTGTAAAACCTCTAGCCAATTTAGATTAGATTTTTTAAATTGTGCAGTTATAAAATATTTTTGCCAACATGTCTCAGTTGTTTTTTTTTTTAAATCCTTACTGATGCTGATACTTAAGCATTTTTAAAATTTTAGTCCTTTTTTTTTAGTTAATTCTTAAACTTTCTTTACAGATACATAAGTGAAGCATAGGTTACCTAAGAAGGAATCTTGAGTGGAAAGAAGCATCTTTTTGGCAAGTAGTCCAATGACAAGACAGAGCTAAATTCCCAGGTGGAGGGGCATCAGAGAGCTTGTAACTAACCGCCATCTGAAGTCAGCCTAGTACCTGGATGCAACCACACAGCTAGTGCATTTTCAATGTCATGACCCATGTACTTGGGCGGCTGCCAAAGGGGTGTCTTATCCTCACATATCATAAACAATTAAGTAACTGAATTTAACAGGCACTTTAAACCAAGCCCTGGAGTAGGTGTTTGGCAGGTGTGGTCTCACCCCTCCAGGAACTTATAATCCTCATGGGAAGAGAAGACATTTTCCCATACTAAGCAGTTAGATACCAAACTGTATCTCAACATAGATGATAGAACATGTACCTATATTTTAACTCAGTTCACCCACAAAATGGAATAATAATACTTACCCACAGGGTTGTTGCTAAGTGAAATAACTCTATGCCATTTGAATAAAATATTTAAGCCCTGAGCATACAGTAACAGTTCAGGAAATGTTATTTCTTTTCCATCTATTCATCAAGGGGATAGAGAACTTAAAGATCACCAGGACTCGTAGCTTCATTCTATTTTAATTTTTTTAAAGATTTATTTATTTGTTTTAGGGGGGGAGGGGCAGAGGGAGAGAGAGTTTTAAGCAGACTCTGCGATGAGTGCAGAGCCCAACGCCGGGCTCAGTCTCATAACCCTGAGACCAAGACCTGAACCAAAACCAAGAGTTGGGCACTCAATCGACTGAACCACCCAGGGGCCCCACTATCTTCATTTTAAAAGTAAAACTCAGAAAGGTAAAATGAATTGCCCAAAGTCACACAGCTAGAAAGAGGCAGAGCTAATAACCAAAGAAACGACCTGTATTCCTCTTTGGATTTCTCAGAAAGCGATTGCCAGGGTTCTTCAAAATTCCACATTGCCCCCTAAATGAGTGCCCCAGAGCAATAACCTGAGGTCGTTGAAATGACAAAATACAAGTCCCCCACCTAGGTTTAAAGCCACATTCATCCGGTTTCAGTTGAGAAAGCTGCTAATGGCTCTTACCATGCCTTTCCCAGTTGAAGCACAGAACCAAAACATTTGCAGCCTGAGGATTCCCTCCCACTGCTTGTAGATCAAACACAAACAGAAGCAGTGGGAGGCCGGGCCATCTCTAACTGAGAGAATCAATATCAATGAAACAGACAAAATCCCAAAATCTCAAAATAATGAAAACAAAGATATCCAAGTAATAAAATCTGCTAGAATCACAAAGACAACACAACTCCGATCTCAGCTGGCTCAAAGAAAGTGTCCATTAACAAGGGATTAACACAAGGAAAGGACACAACCAGTCAATAGGAAATGAAAACATTTCACACAGTCTAGTCGAATTTGAGCCCACCCTCGGATTATGGACGAGGGTGTGTTGAGACAGTGTGGTCCTGACTATAGAAAGATAGTCTCCAGAAACCATCAGCCAGATGCCAACTGAAAGAAACACCCGAACCTGCTGCTATTTGTTGGACTGAAAATTTGGGCTGACAGGCCAGAAGATAAGGCAAAACACAGAGCAACTGCCCTTAAGTAGTCTTGCCCATTGCAATTTTCAAATTAAAATTTGAAAGAAAGCCTCCATCAAAAGAAAGGGGGGAAGGAAAAAAAAAAAAAGAAAACCAACCCCCAAACTGTGGAATAAAATTTTATTAGTTTATTATAAAATAAGTAAAATGGCATTCCCATGCCCAGTATGAAGACAATGTGGGTACTTTTCTGTATAAAATATTACAGTTTGGAGGAAATCGAAAGCAAATATCAAAATTGAATATAGTTGACCAGTGCGCCTGAATTAGTATAATAATTATATTCTACTAATGGCTGTGATATTCCTAGTTAACAGCCAAGCAGCCCATAGAATTGAATCAAAAATATGCTATTTGTATGATAAAATTCAAACATTTCTGCAGGGGTTAACATTTAAAGTTAAATGATTTTTTTTTTTTGCTCATTTTATTTTGAGGAAAACGCTGTAATGACATCCACTTGATTAGCATATCATTAACCATATGCACTGATTTCAGATAAAATGGATCTCCTGTGTTTGTTTGGGAATCATTAGCAACTCCAAGAAGGTTGCCAATTTAAAAAAAACTGGCCCCATGAGCACGCCAAGCTCTGTAGTCTGAACCTAAAAATGTGAGTTGGACCCCTGGAAACTTATTACAAAGAAAAGCAACAGAAAGGAACAGAGAAGAGGGAATGGCTAAAGTTTGAATCCTTCCCAGACACTGAACTACAGCAGTTCAGGCCATTTAATAGAAAACAAGCCCAATAATCATCAGTAGCTCACGGCTAAGGGGCCATAGTTCACACATGACAGATCAGGACACGCCATCACATGTGTGATCTGCAACGGAAGAGATTATTTGAAAGTGGGACTGCCTCAAAAAGTCTGACTCGTCCCTAAGGGTTTCCCTATGATGGACGGGTCACTATTCCAGAAGAAAGTCATATTTACAATGGCTTCGCCCATTCCGTGGGGAGCTCTGCCATCCAGGGTCTATTTCAGCAGCTGCCATCTGAAAAATCTTTCCTCCATAGGTTTTACGTCTACATGTGTGTATATACAGGCTCGCGTAAATCACTCATTTGTTTCCCAATTACTAAAATATTCCTCATTTCGTCTACTTAGCATCCCATGTCTCCTAAGGAGAAAACATTTTAGCAAAAATGTGAAGCTTAGTCCCCAAAGCTTATTACTTAAATGCAAAGGATTTGAGGCAGGTCTTTGGGGCTATTAGGAAAGGCTTAGATAGAAGAGACAAGAGTAGTTTGGGGTTGTTTTCTATATCGGGCTGTTGGGAACATCTTTTCATGTAAATGCTCTCTGAAACTTTAAACACACACACACCACTTAACGAAGTGGCAAGGGTTTTGAAACTGGGTCACCCTAGAATCCAATCTCGAAGTGATAGACAATATAGTTACTTGCCTAATTATTCTCCCTTATTCTTGCTAAAAGAATCCCACCTCAGGATCTTTGTTCCGATAAAAAATGCAGCTTCCTGGACTTCCGTGCAGACAGAGTAGCCATGAAACACGTTCTGGCCATGAGATGACGGGATATGGGTATGAATTCTGGGGAAACTTTTAATTAGGAAAGGCAGCCTCAGCTGGCAGGGTCCTTTGCCTCCCCGGCCTTCTCCCTTCTTCCTGCTAGAGTTCCAGCAGCCACATGGCAATGATGAATCCAAGGACAAAAGTCAACACACTGAATGGCAGAGTGGAAAGACAAAGAGCCTGGGTCCCTGGGAATAGTGAGCCAATGCAGTGCTTAGACTGCCTCCCCATGACATCTTGTTTCATGAGCCAAATGAATCCAACTTGCTTAAGCCACCAGCTGTCAGATACTCTACTATTTCCAGCCAACGCACCTCTGAATGATAAACTGTCTCTGGGCTTCATTTCCTTATCTGCAAAAAGGGGGTGGAACCTTCACCAACTGTCAAGATTTGCTGTAAAGCCTAGTTAATAGCTATATAATTCCTAGTGTAATGCCTGGCTCACAGTAATAACTGGATGCCATCATTATTATTATTTATTAATAAGATTAAAGTTATTTCTTTTTCTTTGGCAAAACTTGAAGGAGCAGAGTCAAGCTTTCCCTGAGATGAGGACTATCTTCTGGGCAAGGTGCTGAGGTCATTTTGGGGTGGAACCAGCTGACTGAAATCAGCTTTATAAGGACCCTTACCTTACTTAGTAGAATGGCCAATAAATAGCCAATATCCAAAGACTGTGTCCCTCTGTCCTTAGTTTAGAAGTTTTTTCTGGCTTATTGCTAATGCATACTAGCTATTTTTAACACTTGGAGAGCAAACTGTTGATTTCTTTATAGTGAAACCAAATCCCTTGGCTGCATTTCATTCCTGAGCAGCAATCACACCAGCAAACTGCAAAATTAGCATTTAATAGCTCATTTCAATGAAAAACCAGAAAAACATTCTTTGGGCACCACAGGTTTTTGCCTCCAAAGATAGCACTTCTTTTTTTATTTCCTGAGTATGTGAAATTGCCCTAATTCTGACTTACTTAGTGGGATATGCATTTGGCTTCCTGGTTTCAATTTTGTGGCCAAAATGATCAGTTGTTGCTCTTTTTTGAAGGCTGTATAAATTAGTTTTACTTGAAGTCTGTTGATCTATTAGTCCAGCACAATCAATACACGAGGCTTAAAAATAAATCCTGGGGTACGATTTAGAGCATCCTCTATGATGTACATCCCAGCATCAAGACCCTGGTCTTCAGTGCTCTCCCAGGCCCTTCCATTGCTTTGCTACAATTTGGCTCAACACATCAGTTAAGCAAATTTAGAATGCTAGTCAATGGTGGCTGAGATTTTGTTAGGGCCAAACCAAATAAAACAAAAAATACCTGTTTGCTAGGAGGTCCATTTGAAGAGTGATAACCAGAAAAAATGGCCAAAATGAATCTCATGGTCTGTTAAGTAGGAGTTTTCTGTACCACAGAGATTTCAGTCAACTACTCCTAGGTATTTCAAGTTTCTCAGTTGTCTAGAGGAAGCTCTATGCCAGCGCTCTCCAACAGAAGCATAATGTGAACCACTAACATGAAACATATATGTAATTTTAAGTTTTTTAGTAGTCACATTGAAATAAAAGTAAAAAGACCCAGGTAAAATGAATTTCAGTAGTATATTTTACTTAACCCCCAAATATATCCAAAATACCATCATTCCAACATACGCTCAATAACAAAAATTAATGAGATATTTTTACATTCTTTCTTTGTATGAGATCCTTACAATCTGTGGTGTATTTTACACTTACAGCACATCTCAGTTCAGACGGGCCACATTCCAGGTGTTCAATAGGCACATGTGGACGGTGGCTAACATATCTGACAGCTATACCATAAGGCCTATCATTTCATATGCTGCCTTAACATCCTGAGGCCTCATGGGGGCCCCCACGTTCTAACTGTGAGTTCCCCTGCTCTTGCCACCCAGTGGGAAAGGCTCCCTACCCAGCTAGTTTCCCTAGCAGCCAGACCAGCTGTGTTCCACCTGGTCCTCAACCGAATGAGCTTCACCTCTCTGCAAGCCTGTGGAATTATTCAAACAAGCCAATCACATCCTCCTCTGGAAACCGGAAGTCACCTAACCCTCTTGTTACTACAAAGCTAGCATCCCACGGCCCCTGCTGCTTCCCTTTGCTCCCTGATGCCATCTCTATGTGGCTCTGCATGGCGTGTGGTGTCTCCCTACCCCCAGCTGTGAGTATATGGGAATAATAAATGGCTGTCAATCTCCTGTTCTGTCCAGTGGCGTGTATTCAGCTCTCCTTAGAACCTTAGGGCAGGGCTCTCTCCTGCACCCATGAGGTGAAGAGGAGGTGAGCAAAACAACAGCATGAGTCTATACTTTTTTAAGAGAGCTTTAGAGTCAATTTTTCAAAAATATCTAGAGGAATCTGGACTTGTCTCTTAGCTTTCCTACATTTACATTGTTGGAAAAACCTTAGTTGTAACTTTGGAATACATTTTCTTATTTTGTTAATATTTTTGGTATTTCATGGTGCTAATCTTTTACCTCAGCTTTGTAGCTGGTTATGCTTGGTTCTGTATTATTTTGTTGCATGTTCTGATCTTTAGCATTCGTGCTGAAGGGGACCGATAAAATCATCGTTAGACAATAACATGAATTTACTTCAAAGATAAAGGCCTACTCCATGGCGAAACACTCATTTAGTCTGAAAAGGATGACAAATTCCTGGCAAGAATACTGCCCCAGCTCTTCCCGCGCCTGTGGCAAGATCACTAAGCCAGCTGTCCACCTCAGAATCCTCTTGACGTCGGAGATGAAATCTCTGATCTAGAAACCCTGAGCTATCCTTGAGCCTTCTTCATGATCCCTAATCTATATACAGCAATCAATGGGCTGCCGCCCCTTCCCTCAACATACTACTTCCAAAGCATCTTTTGAATATATATACCTTCTTCATGCACATCACACACGCTTTCATCCAGGTCTCCAGTGTGTCTAAGGGGAGCCATCAGCAGGCTGTGTTCCAATGGGTTTCCCTGTCTCCAGGCCCTCTACCTTCCCTCCATCCTCCAATCTGCAGCCCAGGTGGTCCAAAACTCAGAGTTCATTTATGACTTTTTGTCTTAAATACCTCCAACTTCTCTTCACTGCTTCCAGGTAACAATCCAAATCCCTTAACCTGATAATCAAGACTTTTAAAAATCAGGCCCCAGTCTATCTTTTCATTTGTTTTTTTTTTTTAAGATTTTATTTATTTATTTATTTAGAGAGAGAGTGAGCATGAGCAGGGGGAGGGGCAGAGGAAGAGAGGCAAGTAGGCTCCCTGCTAAGCGGGGAGCCTGACGCAGGGCTGGATCCCAGGACCCCAAGATTGTGACCTGAGCCAAAGTCAGACACTTAATCGACTGAGCCACCCACGTGCCCCTACCTTTTCATTTTAACCTTCAGCCACCGTTTCTCATTTATCCCTACTCCAAATTATTTCCAGAAAAACCCAGCACCTTCATGCTATGGAATCTTTATGGAAGCTGCTCTCCACTTGGCTTGGCTTGTCCCTAATTCCTACCTTAAAAAAAAAAAAAGAGAGAGAGAGAGATTGGAGTGAACGTTTTAAAGGAAAACCACACATTGCAGTTCAGGACACTGCCTTGTAGAACACAAGTTCTCCTTCTTAAGTCAAGCACAGACTACTCTGTCAACCATGCTAGACACGACAGACAGCCTTGAGTCATCGGCTGCCCCCAACAGATTTATTTGTGTGATTTGCTTTATCAGGAGAAGTAGCTGTAAAGAAAGTGTATCTATAAACACATAATAAAATAAAAATTGTATTTCACTTCATTATAGTTTATCAAGGCTCAGCTTTGTGAGGACGGCTCCTAGAGCAGAACAGGGTGAAGAACACCATCACTGCCTTCATTGAGAAGGAGCCGCAAATCCTGGCTCTATCAATTAGCTCAGGTGTTTAGCTTCCCCGGCCTGTTTTCTACCTATAAAATGCAGATAATAAGTTACCTACCTCCTAGAGGAGAAAATCTACATTATGTACTTACACAGCACGTAAAAATAGTACTAGTAGTAGGACTATCACAGGCTTATTTTCAATTCTTACATTTATCATAGTAATTAATCTTAGAGAGAAAACTCTCTGATGGGAAAAACACTTCAGTTAAAGCCTGCTGTAGAATAAGGGACCCCAAAGGTTTTTTTTGTTTGTGTGTTTGGAGGGGTTGCTTGTTTTTTTGTTTTTGTTTTTTTGTTTTGTTTTTGTTTTTTATATCCCACGAATACGCTATTTACACCAACCCTGCTGGTAATGAGAACCAGAGGGGAGCGATATCTTGGTATCTCCAGTGCCTGGCACTGAATGAAAGCAGCAGGCTCCCCTAGCCATGGGCAGGTGACAAAACTTCTCTTAGAGTTTCATCACCCTTATCAGTTATTTACCCACATCTTTCAGCCTGGAGAAATTTCAGATTTTTTCCCAAAAAACTGGTGCTTTGAACAAAAGATGCAGGCGTGTAGGAAGACGAAGCTTGCCAGGGAGGAAGGGGGACACGGAGGAGAGAATGTGCCCAGACTAGATTTCTCCCACTTCGCTACCACCCGAGGCCAGTGCCAAGAAATTATCATCTTAACTGGCAAGGAGGAAGGAATTGAATATTTATGGAGTGTCTACCTCACACGGGTGCTTTGCTGGGTGAATTATATAATAATAAAAACGTTAGCTATCTTTTGCCATGCCTTATACTAATTGCCTTACATTTTTTTCAGTTTATTCTCATGACAATGTTGTCAGCTTTTAGGTAGGTAGCTCCGTTTTACAGAGGAGGAGATAGAAGCTCAGAGAGGCTAAGTAATTTGTCCAAGGTCACACAGTGAGTTACTTTAATTCCAGCTAGAACTAGACGCTGGATCTGCCTGACTGCAGTATATCTGTATTCTCAGTTCCATGTACCACAGTAGCTCTCAACAGGCAAAGACCTCCAGGGGAAAGACTACCATTTCCTATTAATGCCCGGCTCTAGGAGAACCCTCACTCATAGTAGGCGCTCAGGAAATG